CAGCCAATCAGAATCAAGCACCGGAACTATCCGTTTTATAATGAATGTTTTGTCACACCTGCCAGTGGAGACGCATCTTCCTTACCAGACGTGTTTAACAGGACACATTCATTTAGTTTGATTATGAATGGAACAGAATGCAGCTGAACTACTTTTACTTGACATAGCATCTTAAAAACATACTGATACTGTATATGGGATTAATTGTGATGCATTATTTAGCTTAACATGTTTCTGAATTTTGAATCCGTTGACAGTGTGGTATATTAGTAACAAATTATGAGAGGCACAGAATTATTGCTCTTGGTGTAAAGAGCCTTAACTTTATTTGCTTGCCAAAGCCAGTTTATTCTCTCGTTTGACTATTGATTTTAGGCCTGGATTACTTCCTCATTGGACTCTTTTTTTATTTTACCTAACCTACTAAACTTTATTTGTTTTCTTTTTTTGTAGATAGCTTTGAATTGTTTTTACCCTTTTACCAGGAGAAGCTGGCAGCACATGTAAAAGCGGATTTGGAAAGTCTGATGGTGAGAGGTTTTGTTCTTTCTCAGGTGAATCTGTAAGTGTTCGGATGTCCAAACATTGATTCACTGATTCTTTTACCCAGTCATTCATCACAGACATGCCGCGACATTTCACATTTAATATATTGCTGCTTTTGTTGGATTACATTAATTAAGTTTAATGTACGTCATGTACCCCTGGATTAAATCAATCAGTGATTTGCAGTTTCACAGCAAATCACTGATTGACACATACACAGACTACATCAGTTTTCATTTTAGGACAGCCATTGTTTAACTCTGTTGTTATTTGTATTTTACTGTAAGTGAAATACAAGACCGTTGTTCTGGTATTATTTCATTGCATTGTTTTCTTTTGCACAGAGATCGTATGAGGGCCCAGAGGAGCTGGTAGAAAAGCTGAAGTCCCTCACAACAGACTCACTCACTCCTGAAGGTATGCTGATTTATTCAGTCATGTTGTGGATTTGATTTGAGGACTCAGCAACCATTTAACATTGAGTGCCTTTTTTCATGTTTAGTATTGAGACATTAGATTAGTAGAATACCATTACATTTTAAGGATTTGTTGTGTAGTGAGGGAAACTAACATGCATAATGTATGTAAATATTTTGTTCTATTTACCCATATTTTACATTATTGCCCCTTTTCACATTTTCAGGAGCGTTAGTCAAATTGGCTTTATTACACTTTTATTTGAGCGGAATATCTCAATGGAGATTGCTAAACTCCAGCTTACATGTTTTCTGATGTTTCCAGCTCATCAGCACCTTTTCTGTAACAGTGAGAGAGTGAGTGCAAATGGTTGCCAGGTTGGGAATATTAAGTAAACTTCTGGGCAGAAAATGTATCCATTTAAGAAAAAAGCTCTGATTGGGGGATTCAAACTCTTGACATCTGGCAACCGGAAACATGAAAGCTTATCAATGCAAAACAACGCAAATATCAAATTAAAATGTTTTCGGAATAAATAAGCAGCGGGCAAATATCGCAGACGATTGTGCTTAATAAATCAAGAGAAGCATTTTCAAATCATGATTTGTGAACGATTTGTTATGCAGCGCTACTAAAAGTTTTTTTAAAATGAAAATATAATATATAACATATAATATGACAGTTATGTTAACAACTGTGGAAATGCGTCATCGCAGTCTGTGAAAAAGGTCCATTTCTGAATGCAATAATAAAATTTGACTTACACTAATCATATTAGAGCGATTACACTGAGTGAATTCAAATAAATAGTTTCTTAGCCTGTAAAAATGTTTTTTGCAACAATGTTGATTGTGCATGAGGCACATCCCAGCTAACAAGGAACTTCACTAATGTTTTTTATAAGCTATATAAATGTTAGGACACAACATTCATAATGTTCATGTAACGTTCTTATAACTTTAATAATATTTGATGTAACATCTTTTCATAACGTTAAGATGAAACATTCTTAGAATGTTATTTGTACTTGATGAAGATTCTAAGAAACATTTTTGTAACCTTTAGCGTTCTAATAACCACTGGACATTTTAACATTCTTAGAATATTAAAAATAAAGGTTCAAATAATGTTTTTTTGGGGGGTGAAGATAAAGTTAGCAAAACATTCTAATAAATGTAACCTTTAAATAACATTCTAATCACATCAAGAAAACTGCGTTTTAGAAAAATTTCAAAACAATGTTTCCACAAAGTTTTTCTAACCTAAATTTGATGCCTGATATCAGATGCTTGTAAATGCAATGCTGACTGTTCTTCTCGTGTCCGCAGAACCGTGTTCCAGAGACTCTCCAGGGCCCTTGAGGAGCTCAGACATCGGCCCGGTGGAGGCTAGCATTGAAGACCTCATCTTCAGGACCCCCGAAGAGTCTCTGCTGGAGGTGGACGCCGCGCCTCCCAATCTGGAGCTCAAACTGGCACAAGAGTACAACTACCACAAATATGGCAGTCGTATAGTGGATCAGCCGGATGCCAGCGTTTATAACCCGCTCCCGCAGCAGCCGGCTAGCAGCAGGTGGGCCGGAGAGGCTTCTTCTGTGAAGTCTTGGACTAAACCCGCCGCTTACCCAAACCCAGACGAGGAGCTCCATCTGAGGCCTGCTGGCTCATTTGAGGGATTGCACAGGCCAGAGTTGGCGAGTCATCTCTCAGTGCCGTATTCTGACTACGACAGACTCCAGCATCCTCACCATCCGCCGTACAATCGCATCAAGTCCTGTCCAGATAGTGCATCTCATGCAGCGGAGTCTTTCATGCTGGATTCACAGCCTGGCCTGCGTTTATCACCTGTCGTATGTCCTCCATCTGACTCGGGTACAGTTAACAATTCACAACTAACAAGTCATTTCTGCAGTGCTTTATACCAGTGGTTCTCAAACTGGGGTACGTGAGGTGACGAACAAAATTCTGAGTTTTGGCATTCATTTAATTCTACCCCAA